ACGAGTCTTGGTCTCCCGGATTGCAAGCGTTCAGGTCGGGTCAAGTCCACCTCCTCGACGCGCTGCAGCCCGGGTCGAAATTCTTGCAAAAAGACAAATAAATATACTCCCTGCTAGCCTAACCTAACCTCCTCGCGATTATGGGGCTCTTTTAGTGGCTATTTTCCTTGTTTCTGGCCAGGAGTCGATCCGGGCTGCAGCGCGTCGAGGAGGTGGACTTGACCCGACCTGAACGCGTGCAATCCGGGTGACCAAGACTCGTAAAGCAGGACCGAGTTCTGAACTCTCCTCTGACAAGTGGAGCCGACAGCCGAGTGGCGAGGGCGCTGGGGCATGGTGCGCGAGACACCCTCGGCCCTGGGGTCGAGTCCTGGTCGGAGCGGACATTTTGTTGGTTTTTTTTTGGGCAGAGGGGGGGGGGTGGCTGCTGAGTAGGCGGTCAAGTCCCCCTCCCCATGTCGGCTGGTCTTTTGTACTAACCCTTGGTCCCCGCGCCGCAAACTACTAAATGGGAAAAAATGAGCCTCTATCAGTATTCGAACCCACGACCATCTGCGTCCCGGGCGCACGCTCTACCAACTGAGCCAATGAGGCTTTTGCTGTTGAAGCTTATCTCCGCTGTGGCTCACACCCCGAAACATATGGCTGGCAGATGGGCGATAGGGTTCCGTCGACTAGATTCGAACCAGCGACTGTTCGCGTACCGGCCCATCACATCAGGTGTCGCACGGCTGTAGAGTCATGGCCAGCGGAGCGCGAAAAATATCACCGGGAAGAGATTCGAACCAGCGACCAGGTTCTTACCGGGCCCGGACGCTACCGACTTGGCCACCACGGAACGACATAGAGCACAACTTTCGGCGGCATCCAGATCTCAGCTGTGACTGACGCCCGAAGACACTCTTGGCCAGCAGAGCAGGAAAAATGATCGCGGATGGGATTCGAACTACCGACCATCCCCCCGATCTGCCAACGACTACGCTTTAACACGCTCGGCTACCATCTTGCCCCTCCGAGGTCGAGGTCTGAGCTCGGTCCTGCCTCACGGGAGACAAAAAGCGACAAAGAAAAAATTTGCCCCGCCCGGGCTGGCCCTGCTGGCCCTGCTAGCCCTGCTGGTCCTGCTGGTCCTGCCTGTCCAGTAAGACAGTGCGCAGGTGAGTTCGTAGAATTAAATAATATATATTTTTCAAACAGGTGCACTTGGGAGGTGGAGTTGCGGTCGCCAGACGTACAATTGTGTCTGAGGGGGCCGGTGGCGGCGGGCGCATCAGCAGTCTGCGGCCCTCCTGTGTCTCCGGGGGTGACTGCACTCGGGACACCTCCAGGACTCCTGTACCCTACCGACATGAGGACCCCCGTGCCCGTCCTGAGTCCTGGACACACCCCCACCCCATCGACGGGGCTCAAGCTTGACCTGGACGTGTTCAACCAGTTCATGGAGGCGGGGAAGTACTCTCTGCGCATTGCCCTGCACTAAGGTTGAGTTGTGTGTGTGAGTGTGGGATGAGGGAGGTAACATAATACAGCACACTTTCACTATTATCGTTATTTATTTGTTTTGCCATAGTGAAGACATTGGGTGTCCATATTCTATGACCTCGACAAGACGTATTGGCTAGTGAAATAAAATATAAGACAGCGATTGAGGGTATTGAGGTACAGGCAGAACTATTTCTAAACAACGCAAAGAAAATCATTTACAAAAATCGACAAAATAACTTGTTTTTTGTGCACTATGAATCAATATGATCGGCGGGTATCCCCAAAATCTTAAACTCTGAAGTGAATACGACATTCGAGCGGGATGATAGGCCGACGAAAGTACTATGCATGCAGGCAGATAAGCTAGGCATGTCCAATAAATAAAGCATGAAGTCTAGTCTGATTACTGAGGCCACTCTTCAGAGCCCAACATGCACTCGACTAAGGCCCCTTCTGCAGAAATGATTAAAAAGAAATGTTCCTAGTTCGACTTACAACGTAATATGACACAAATGTGGACTTCCTCCTCTCTACTCTCCTCTTTCGTTTTGACATTAAAAGTACTACTCCTTCCATCATGTAGTGTCTCCTCCACTGCTCCTCAGAGAGCCTTTCATAGTGCACAGGCTCCGATCGCATTGGTTCCATTTGGAATTTTACCTTCTCTCCCTGCAGGTACTCTCACGAAAGGGTAACTTTAAAAAAACAAAACAACCAAAGCCGTGCCAGAGCGCGCTTCTACTCTACGCGCACACACAGCAGTCCTCGCTCGTCTTCGGGACACAGCGCACATCACCACGGGCGAACAGACCATGGTGTCCTCGCCGCCCCGAACGTGTTCAGTTTCACTCGCGCTTCACGGCAGCTTCCACGACAGCCGCAACATCATCATCAATGTCCAAATACAACAAGATTGCGGCCGGTGGCTGCACGTGCACGCGGGGGGAGCCGCCGGGAGAGCCGCTCCGTCCAGACGGTCGCACGCCGTCGAGGAGGCCACCTCGTCTCGCGGCGCGGCCGCTACGGGTTGCAGCGGCACACGCAGCACGACGGGAAGAGGAACCAGTCCATGAAGATCCCCTTGCAGTCGTTGTCCGGGTCGTAGGCGAGCAGGCGGTGCCACTTGTACTTCTGCTCGCAGCCGCAGTCACCGGTGCACCGCTTCGTCTGCGGTTTCCTGAGAGAGAGGGAGAAATGGACAAAACTTAGTTTAATGAAGAACAACAACACACAGTTAATTGTGACGCGCTCAGTCCGCATAGTCAGTGTCGGGAGACTGCCCCACAAACTCACGCGCAGACTTCCTGGTGTATGGCCTGCTCGAAGTGCTGGGTGTTCACTATGGCACGGATTTTGCCCGCAGAGTTTGACGCCCAGTAGGGCGTCACGATCTCCACCTTGCTCTCGCAGGCGTCCAACCTTGAATAATAAAATTAAAAGAAAATACACGATTAACTTGCGCGTTATTACCTACATACTTCCGAGGAGAGGAAATGAAGTAACTGATGACGGGTGCGCGGACGGATCAGCCTGGGCGGTAGGCAGCCCGGGCCGGGAAACGCACGCCTGCTCGACGGGTCGGCCTACCCGTCAGGCGGACTAGCTCGGCCTGCTCCTTCTGCCCCCACTCACCTGCCGGTCTCACTCTGCGACTGGTTGTTTCTGAACGACTGCCTCGTGGAGCGGATTTTGTTGACGAACGAGTCCCCCGCAGATCGCACGGTGTCTTCGACGGGGTCCGGGGGAGGCAGCGGCGGCGGCTCGGCGTCCACCACGGTGTCGTTGCCGGCCTCGCGCTTGACGAGCGAGCGCCGCCTCGCCGGGGCCGCCCCGGGCACGGCTCCAGGCACGGCCCCGGGCACGGCCCCGGGCACCGCTCCGGGAACGCCTCCAGGGGGGCCGGTGGCTGTCGTCGAGGCTGGTGTCTCAAACACCTCTCGCGCAGGCGGACCGTACTCGGTCGTCATTTGGAACTCGCCGTACATTCGCCGCATCAGGGACTTGTTGTCGTCGATGAAACGCTCTATTCTATCACTGCAACACAAAAATTGAGTGCGTCAAATAACACGTCAAGTCTCGCGTGGGCCGTGTCTTGCTGGGAAACGCCACCCCGCGTAATCTCGGTCAATCTCTTTGGGATTCAAGGTGTCAAAAGTGCCCTGCACGTTCTCTCAACATGCCATTCCACACCATTTTACGATCCATGCTCTATTTTAAAATGTCTGATTTTAGGATATAAAATGTTGGTTGTTTACTTACATGGGGTAACTGTTTCCGGCGGTGGGACAGAATAGCTGGTGAAAGCGTTTGATGCAGGGGACGCCTCTGATTACCTCCCCGCGAATCTCCAGGCCCAGAGCTAGCGACAGAGCCGTCCAGAGGATCTGCAACAGAGATACGACGCACATCGCTAGAGTACAACGGGAGAGAGACCGTCCGAAACACGACGCGGAGGCGGCTTTGAATCAGCACTGCCATAACAATGCAACAACATTCATGAAAGAGCAAATATAAACAGGTAACAGTAGAGTGTTTTCTTCCTCTAGAAACATTTAAACTGGGTAAGTACGCGAGGTTTTTCTGAGTCGCCAGTCGCCGCAGACTCGCGAAAAAAAAGAAAAGGAAAAGAAACATCAAAATGATACCGTGTGAAAAAGGGGCCTTGGTAGTGGGAGGCACCGAGACCAAGGTGGCGTCGGGCAATGGAACAAAAAGTGTTGTCTTCTGTCACGGATGGCTGGGCAGCCCCTCCCCCCTCCCCTCCCCCCACAGCACAACTTTCGGCGGCATCCAGATCTCAGCTGTGACTGACGCCCGAAGACACTTGGCCAGCAGAGCAGGAAAAATGATCGCGGACGGGATTCGAACTACCGACCATCCCCACGATCTGCCAACGACTACG